CTTAATTAATTTTGGTATAAAGTGAGCCATGGAAATCGCCTTGCACAAATGACGCTTAATTAATTTTGGTATAAGGTGAATCATGAAAATTGTCATGCACAAATGACGCTTAATTAATTTTGGTATAAGGTGAACCATGAAAATCGTCATGCACAAATGACGCTTAATTAATTTTGGTATAAAGTAAACCATAAAAATCACCATGCGCAAATGACGCTTAATTAATTTTGGTATAAGGTGAACCATGAAAATTGTCATGCACAAATGACGCTTAATTAATTTTGGTATAAGGTGAACCATGAAAATCGTCATGCACAAATGACGCTTAATTAATTTTGGTATAAAGTAAACCATAAAAATCACCATGCGCAAATGACGCTTAATTAATTTTGTTAGTATGTTCGACTGGTGTAATGGTAATTGGTGTAGTTTTGTTAAGAGTTCTACGAGTTTTCCGTAGTTTCAAAAAATATTTTTTTTCAGTGGTAGTAAAAATAGTACATTAATATTTTAATAAATTAGAATTAAGAGACCTTTTTTTCCTCCACTACTAATATTTTAAACAGAGTGAATTAAAGATCAAATAGAGAAATGGTGATACCCTAATCTTTACCTACTAAGAATTCTGAATGTTGTTGAAATTTCAGCTATAGTTTGCCACTGATAAATGTATTTTGCACAAAATTCAAATGATGAAGGGTTATACAATAAGTACCAAATATACTAATATTGCTATAAAGTATTGATATATTTGGTGATTATCAAAACTGCACCTTTACTAAGCAGTTTAAAAATCGATACTGTAGAAATAAATGTCCAATGGCTCCTTGAAAGGGAATATTACTTGATATAGATAAATTTTGACTATCATGCCACGAGCATTATCATCACGCAAAATGATACTAAATACAATTAATCGCTATTTTGATGGGATAACTACAAAAGTCCTGCTTAGTATAATAGCGTAAAATCACCGGGAAGGCCAACAGATAATAATAAGCAAAAAATGTAAGTTTTTTTTAGCCTTATTAATTGAAGAACTTAGTGGAAAAAAAAACAGGTAAGTGACATTTTCAGAGAGGCTATCAATCAGTGTAAGAAGAAGAATATAGTGATCTCCGAACTATTTTATTACCAATTTATTAGAAAGTGAGAGTAATAATTCTTTGTTTTATTTCATTTATCACTGCCTAATTTAAAAATTAAAATCATGCAAGTATACAAAAAAGATATGTGGATTAGTTATGTTAAGATTAAAGTGAAAGTAAAAACAATTCTGTTATATTAAACGCATCCATATTGGTGCAACCAATTTTAATTTCACTGATTCATAAATACTCCTAAAAATGTCACTTACCTGGTTCTTCCACTAAGCTTTTCAATTGTGGCGGTACATGCCTTTCAGTTTAGTGCATGAATTTTTAGTGTTCTTCAATACTGATTAAAAATTTTTTTTTCATACGTGTATTCAGATAGGCTACTATAAAAAAAATTTGCATGAAAATTTTTTGTCTATTTATTCTTGTGTTACGTTGTAATAGAATGACTTAGTTTTTATTTTTTTTTCTTAGAAGACTTTATTACGAATCAAACATTATTTTCCTTCAAAAAACAAAGTGTTAAATATTATTTATTAATAATCGTTTGTATGACTTATATTTAGTTTAGTGGCGAATACTTGACTTAAAAACAAAATAACTCGTCCTGAAGTTCCAAAAAAATAATAAAATTAAAATATAATAACCTAAAAAAATATTGCGTTGTATATTTATATTAAAGGTTTCGTTTTGTTCCTTGTTCTTTTTTGTCCGTGTTGTATATTGGGTATTTCATTAATATAAATACCGCGGCAATAATATCGGCGCTTGTTATTTTTATTTTTTTCAGTTAACATAATTTTATATAAAAAAAAAAGTTATATAAAACCTATTAATCGAATAAATTATAACACTATTTTAATTTCCGTATTTTGAGTTCTCAACTAATAGCGTAAATTTTAAGTGCTTTTATGATTGTTTTTTCTTAATAAAATATTGAATACTTTTAGTGCACAAACTTTTATTTCTTTTTAAATGATTCTTAGCATTTAAAACACTGTTTACTTCACAGCAATATTATGTAGAACCTAAATTAATATTAGTTTATTACAAAGCTAGAGCAGCAAATAGTCAAAATAAATGACACGTAAGATATCAATATAACAATCTATTTGTAGAATATTTCTTAAATTTCCCCATATGCTATAAATAATGCATTATGGGAAATAGAGCGCTAGTAAAGGATACAGTGTAGTTTTATTTAACATTTATAGCCCATGCATTCGACGCCAATCAATGAACGAATTCCATGCTCAGCTCTTTTTTTACCTTTTCTCAGGAATAAGCTGAAAGTACTCTGCAGTCGGATCATTTGAAGGCAAAAAGAAAAAAAAATTCCCTGGTGAATTTGTTTCCATGTTTGGCAGGAAAGTTATATCCAAAACTCGCCAAATCTTTTTATTGATCGCAATAGAAAACTTTTGACTCCGAGTTCTGTATTGAAATTTTTAAAGCTTTTGTTAGTATTTTTTATGTGTATGCATATTTTTTAATTATTTTACTCAAAGATAAATAACTTCAGTTAGAAATCCTTTAAGAGATGTGTCTTTTATTATTTACTTATTTTCACTAACTAACTATTTAATTACTATATTTTATCCTTTATAAGAAATATTACTAATGCCAATTAAAATATTTTTAGAAAGAATATTTTTAGGCCAATTAATCAAAATAAAACGATTTTGAGCAAACGATTTTTCAAGCATATTGTTTTAAAATATAGTTTCCTTAAAAATAATTTCAAGCATTTATTTATTCATTTATTATAATATTTTTAATCAAAACTTTTGTTTTATTATTTTTAACTAAAATCTTTTATTGAAAAAAATTTAAGATTTAAATTTTGGAGAATTCTTATATATATA